AGCCCTGCCAGTAGGCCATGGAGACGGTGGCACAGTAGCGACCTAGGTGTGAGGATTGCAGGGGCGGCGGCCATGGAGGCCGTACTGAACGAGCTGGTGTCTGTGGAAGACCTGCTGGTGAGGCCTGGCCTCGAGGGAGGGAAAGGGACTATTCGGACGGGCGGGTCCCGAGGAGAGTCCGGTTGGGGCCAGACCCTCTACCCAGCATCAGTTTTGCCTAGGGAAGCGGAACTACGGCTCCCGGCATCCTCTGCAGCGTCCGGCCCCTGCCCAGAGGTTCTACTTTGTCCGGTAGCCTAATGGGAATTGTAGTTTTCTGCGCCGCCACGCCCCACACTCGGGGCCTGCAGTCTGGCGTAGAAAGACTGACAGGTTCTGGGCGCGTGCAGGAGTTAGGAGGTCAGGGTGCGGACACATTTTTTTTTTTTTAATTGTTTTTAATTGTTCCTTCAGTGATGGCGGGGGGAATATAGCAACTACCATGAAGATTCTTTCATATATTACTCACAGAATCCGGAACGGTGCTAAGTGCATTGCAGGCCATACCTCAATCTTTGTAGCTCTGTGGGCTCTTGTGGGCACTGTGAGGACTGTTTTTATTCCCAATTTGCACATAAGAAAAGGTCCAGGCCCGACAGGGTGGGGCTGGTTGGGGGAAGCAGCCACCGACGAGGGACTGCGGGGGTGGTGGCTGAGCAGTTCTGACAGCGTGTTTACTGTTTAGCCACTGGGGGTCAGCGGCCTCGGGAGCAGTGCCTGGAGCCGCCAGCAGGCGGCATCTCCGCTCGGTACCACTAGGGGGAGGGAAGCGGACGGGGGTTACCGTCCAAGGAGACAGACCCTCGCTAAGAAGCAGAATCCCTGGGTCTGGGTCCCAGGGATGAAGCTAGCGGAACCTGGGGTGCCGGATGCCAAGACCCGCGAGGGAAATGTGGCAGAGACTGGGGAAGATGGGGCTAACTGGGAATTGGACACGCAGGTCCTGCTAGAGAATGGCGGGCCCCTTCGTTTCTAAATGACTCCTCTCCTCTCCTCTCCTCTGGCAGAAGTTTGAAAAGAAATTTCAGTCTGAGAAGGCAGCAGGCTCCGTGTCCAAGAGCACGCAGTTTGAGTATGCCTGGTGCCTGGTGCGAAGCAAGTACAACGATGACATCCGGAAAGGCATCGCCCTGCTGGAGGAGCTGCTGCCCAAAGGGAGCAAAGAGGAGCAGCGGGATTATGTCTTCTACCTGGCTGTGGGGAACTACCGGCTCAAGGAATATGAGAAGGCATTAAAGTATGTGCGGGGCCTGCTGCAGACTGAGCCCCAGAACAACCAGGCCAAGGAACTGGAACGGCTCATTGACAAGGCCATGAAGAAAG